CCCCCCCCCCCGACTCCTTCCCTCCCCTCCTCTATTCCGTTCCTCCTCTGAGCTCGCCTGCCTGCTTACTCCAGAGCGATTCTCTCGCCTTCTCCCCGGCGCCTTTTCCCTCCTCCCAGCCGCCTCCCTGCCTAGCGAGGCAGAGAACGTGTCTCCCTTTTCTCACTCTTCCTCTCCCCGCCGCCCACTCCCCCCCCCCAGGCGAGTGGACGGTGATGGCACACGCACGGTGCCGCGGGGCCTGCGTGGGCGCATTTGCGCGCCTCAGGATCGTGGCCCGCCTTGCGCGCTCAGTGCGCGCCTTCCAAGAGTTCTGCCGCAGAAAGCGCGCCACCAAGCCCTTCTGAAGAAAGGAGACTCTCCCATCTGCCCCAGCTCTCTCGGCGGGGCCACGGGGAGGCCTGGTGGCGGGAAGGGGGCCTGGGCGAGGTTGCACGCTCTGGATTCCCCCACCTGCATTTGGGGAGGGGGCGTCGCCGAGCAGACGCGCCCCTGGCCGAGCACGTGCCCAGACGAACGGGCCGGACGCTCTCCAGGCCCTCCCGCTGGCTCAGCCCGCAGAAGAGGGGTGCGGATCTTGTGCGGGTGTGGTTGGTCCAGCTCCTATCAACCGCAGCCGGCAGGGCCAACAGGCAGTGATAAGGGGTGGTGTAGTCCCGCGACTTTGGGGAAGGGGGCACAAATGTCATACCCTGCCCTAAAGGGGGGATAAAAAGCGAAGAGAGAAAGAAGAAAAGGGGCGGGGGTCGCGGACAAGCTGCTGTTCGGGATGTAACCAAGCCGTAGCCCCACGCCCGTTGGAGGGCTCTTAACACACAAGCAAGCCCCACGGAATTCAGTGGGACGCTCCTTCTCCCAAGCGTGGGATTGTAACCTATTTAACTCCCGCTAATCTAGCAAAACGGTAATTATAGTTTTATGATAATTACAGAGACGAACATTCACTTCCCACCCTACAGTGCTGGAGGGTGCGTGTGTGCGGGGAGGGGGGGAGACGGATCAACTTCGTTCGCCCCCCGCCCTTCACACACACACACACACACACGCGCGCGCGCGCGCGCGCACGCTGCCTCTTGGAGCACCACCTGTTACATTGCACCGCTGGTGCGCGGCGGGACAACCTTGAAATGCTTCTCCGCAAAAGGTTTTCGGCTTACAGGCCGCAGCCTGATCTCAGAAGTCCGAGGTAATTGGGGGTTGACCGATTTACACTCCCGAGGGAGGCCTTTCTGTGCCGCCGTAAAACAGGATAAAAACGGCATCCGGAATCAATTCAGATCGAGCGCCGGGCTCGCTGGCTTAGCCATGAATTAACAGAAGAAACGTTATTTCCCCCTGTATTCAAGCTCGGGGCTGTTCTAGACGCAAAGCTGAGGTTATTCAGTTTTATTCAGACGCAAAACTGAAGTTACTCATGTTTATTAAACTATGTTTGAAATGGGGTTAAACTTAGGAACGTCCAGCATGGAAAAGGAGGAGGAAGAAGGGAAGGCTTGAAAGTGAGATTTCTCGGAGTTTAAAAAGTGCACTTTTTATTTTTTGGTGACAGGTCATACGAAGTGGTGGTGCTTGGTATCTTGAAGGCGAGACACGTGTCGCCTCGGCTTTCCCATCAATTCCCCAATCCCCCGGGCAAGGCACGGGGATCGCTCCCAGCGCAAACCAACCATGCTCGTTCTGGAGGCGTTGCCCGCCCCACCTACCCCCCAGTGCCCCCCAGCCCTCTTCAAGCGAGGCCGCGAAATCCTCTCCCTCCATTCCTTCCCCAGTGCGTGTTTTGGAGGTCCCACACAGGGCTCCGCATTGTATACGAGGGCGCGATCCTCGGTGGGGCTGGGCAGAAGCCCCCATAACCTACACCTCCCGGCATCCCCCAAGAGTTGTGGGGAGGGCGAGCGCGCGTCCTGCGGCTTCTGCCCGCTCGCCGCCTCGGTCCCGGGGCAAGCCGGCCTGCCAAGCCGCCTGCGCCCTCTCGGCTGCCGCGGCGTGAGAAGGCCAGGCGGGGAAACAGGCTCGCTCTCCGCGGCTGCAGCAGGCGCAGCCCCTCCGCAACCCGATCCGCTCCGGCTGCAGCAGCGGCAGCCGCCCCTTGGAGGGCCGGAGTGGGGGGCGGCGGCCCCACCGCTCCCCCGCCGAAGGCCAGAGGTCCGCGAGGAGCTCCCGGGGAGAGCACGGACGGGGGCCTGGCGCGGACAGGGAGCGGCGGCTCCAGGCGCGCTGGGGCCCGAGCCCCGGGAGCCCCCACTCGACGGTACCCGCACGCTGCGCCCCCGATCTTTCCGCCTGGGTTCTTTCCTGGAATCCAAGCCTACCCACCCCCCCGGTCTTTTTACACATAGGGGTGCCCTTGGGAAACAAGGCCTTTTAAAGGCACACACGCTTGCGTTAGAATATGAACAAATTTGCCCTGCAAATGTACGCACGGCACACAACTTGGTGTCCTTGGCTTCCTGGCTTGGTCCATCCATCCCTGCGGAGCAAAGGCTGTGCTTTAATGCCTCCTGGGCCGGCACGTTGCGCATTCCTGCTCATCTGTCTGTTTAAAGGCCATCAGGATCCTGCCTTCTACCTACTGCTGCAAAATACTATTTCATTAAATTCCTATGAGGCGAATATGAATCATAATTATATTTGGTAGAGACTTTCTCTTAAAAAAACAGAAAGACCTAAGGCATCTTACGGCAGTTGTTAAAACATTAAAAGAATTGAAATGATTTAAAATGCCAGTTGTGTTTGCAGATTTTTCTTTCGGTAATGATTTATTCGAGAGAAGCCTAGTGTAAGTGAAAGGGAATTTTAATAAGCAGTCCCATCTATGCGAACTTACTTTGCTTAAATGAGCCTAATTCCAACCGGTGGGTGGCTTGCTTCGGTGTAAAGGAAGAGGGGAATGCAGATTGTGTGATAGGATGATTTTAATATCAGCTCAGATGGACTCTTACTCGAAGCTCCGTGGTTTTCTCCCAGGTGAGGACTGGAGACGAGCAGTTTAGTCTAAGGTACAGCTGGAAAATTTTGTGCAGTTAGAAGGGCAAAACCCAAATAACTGTACAGGAGAAACTAGGTTTCCATACAGTAGGAAGTGCAAATGTTCTTTTCATTTATTTTCCATTAGAAAAATTCTGGGTGGTGCTCATGCATTGGTGAAGTTTAGATTAACTTTCAGCTGATTGACTAGTTTGGTTAATTAATATCGGGGAGCTCCAGGGATTTCTTAGCTGGAAATAAAACCCCTCTGGATCTGATCTGGTCTTCAAGCTAGGGCAGAGTCCTGCCTGGAAAGTCCACCAGCTTTCAAATTCTCAGTGAGTAAAATGCAAATTAGGAATATAGTAGGCATTTTTTAATGTCGCTTTAATGCAAGTTATAAATAAAATGCAAAATCCAGGCACAATTTAGGGCAATAAATCCCATTGATTTCAACATGACACATTTAGAGTTTCCCAAAGGATTCCATTAGATGCCTTTATTTATTTATTTGGAAAGCAAAACAAAACCAAAAATGGAAGCACAACCTTGGGGCTTAACTTCAACTGCAAAATATATGAATAAAATAAAATGTAAAACACATTTTTGTGGTGCTTTCGGTATGCATGTGTATCTCAGGGTGTCTTGGAAAGATAATAACATGCCATAACTGACTGACATGGATATTAAAAGCACACACAAAGCAAAGTAAAATTTATAAGTAGCACATGTCAATAATTTTAAAAGAATATTCTCCCACCCAGCTTAATAGCAGATGGAGCGCAACGGTGACTTCAAGCTCGTCTGAATTCTACTTTAGATCCACAATGAATTAATAAACAGACAAACTGAATTGATTAGCCTACTGGTAAAAATAAAGCCATCTTTTCTCCATATCTAGCTTAATATTTCAACATTCATGTCACCTCTCTAGCATCACAAACTTTTATTAGGGTTAGTCATGATAACAGGGCTGCTAGTCAGTGGTCCTAATAATTTGCTTTGAACAAGTAATAACAGGACTTCATATCATGCCAATTATTATTATTATTATTATTATTATTATTATTATTATTATTTCCCAATACACTTTTTAGTTTGTCCTTGCACTACCCTCCGTGCTGCTCCTGTTGATTTGCCCTGACCATGGCAAACCTGTGAGTGTTTTCTCAGAAACAGATCCCATTGGATGGTGCGGGACTGTCTCCCGGGGAAGCAGGGCCGGATCAAAGCCGCGGTGGCTACTCCTGCTAGCAGGCTGCAGTGGGTCTCCAACCCAAACTCCAACACTGTGTACAGATACACAGTCAGATAAAGCTATTTCTTGTACAACAACACCGCAAGACATTTTATCTTAGAGGGTATCCCCTTCCACACTTTTCCGAAAGCAAAATACTTTG